ACTACTAAGAGTGTTTTACCTGAATCTTGGTGTAGGTGTATATGGTGTATGTGTTGTACCTTTTACATTTTTACAGCAAAATTAAGAAAGAGGATTACTTTATGTAAAGTCAGATTTTTGGTCACAAAGATTGCTGATAACAATGAAATATAAAGTTACCCTGTGATTTGGAATTAAATTAAATCTAAAGGTTTGTGTCTTCTGCTCCTAATTTGTCATCTGACCTTGGGGAACCTCAATTATCCCCATTTTGCAGATGAGGAAATTAAAGTTCAGTGACATGCCACATGACATAGCTATTAAGTGTTGAAGCCCAGACCTTCCCAGACTCCCACACTCTGTGTTCTTTACCACATAGTAAACAGGAAGGGGAATTTTTGTTGAGAGAAGCACAGAGGTAAGCAAAGCCAAGTATAATCTTTCTTCATCACACCATTTCCAGTATCCAAATGTCCCAAAGCAAGCACATTTAGTGCATTGAGTTCTCCAGTAAGAGGCAGAGTCCAAAGGTCCCTTCCATCCCTTATGTTTTCTGGTTTTTAAAAAAATGTTCCTCAATTGTGACTTCTTTCTGTCCTCCATAGAGAAGAAGATTTTTAAAGTTTCTGGCTTTACGCCCCATACTTGTTTCATACTGTTTATCTTGCCTCTACATCCTACAAATTTGGGTGAAGAAGGCCTTTGAGGTCTTAAAGTACAGTTTATGTAACTCATCTTTTACCCCTCAAATTAGACAGATTAGTCCATATTCATGTGTAGCTATTTAATGATCTAAAGCAGTTCATGTGATCTTATTTCATAGTTATGGTGATTAGTTGGTAAAAATTAACCCATTTTTGCTTTTTCTTTTACAGGCTGACATTTTTCATCTGTTCAGTTGGCTTCACTTCCCCAATGCTGTTTGATGAGAGAAAATATCCTTATCACCTTATGCTACAGAAGTTCCTCTGCTCTGGTGGCCACAGTGCTCTTTTTGAGTAAGAATACCCCAATATACTACAACGTTTTTTTCCCAGAGAATTGGATGTTTCATTTAATTTGTCCTTTCTCATGTGACAAGGCATGCTCTCGAGGAAGAGAAATATCCAAAGCCATCAAGGCACTCTTTTATGGAAAGAAAATCTTTTTTTTTTTAAATTTATTTCTTTTTAGTTTTCAGCTATCACTTTCACAGGCTTTTGATTTTTAAATTTTCTTCCTCTCCTTTCCCAAGACAACATACAATCTCTTATAGGCTCTCCATGTACATTCCTGGTCACATTAATCATGTTGTAAAGAAGTAGAACCTATAGGAGGAACAACAAGCGAGAAGAAACAAAACAGAAGGAAAGGAAAGAGCAAATAGTCTGCTTTGATCTGCGTTCAAACTCCATAGTTCTTTCTTTGGATGTGGCTAGCATTTTCCATAACAAGGCCTTTAGAGATGTCTTTCGTCCTTATGTCGCTGAGAAGAGATAAGTCTATCAAAATTTATCAACACACAGCATGAATGTTACCATGTACAATGTTCTTCTGGTTCTGCTCACTTCTCTCAGCATCAGATCATACAAGTCTTTCCAGGTTTTGAAAGAAAATCTTTTGAGTGTGTCCTGGTTCCATCCTTTCATGCCAAGAAGATGGTATTCTTTCTTAACTTAATAATTTAACCCCTGACTTGAATTCAAGTGTGTCTAAAGACATGGTACACTTGGTATTTTAGAGGCGGAACTTGGACTTTCTCCCCGCAAAAAAACACCCCTGGAATCTCTACTTCTATTGAAAAATATCTAAAAATTTCAGTGTGAACATGTGCCACTTGATTTGAATAAGAAAAATTCCAAATTGAGTTTTACAAAGCACTGTAGTTTGAGTCAAGTTTGTGTACAGTGAATGGGCACAAAGAGATAATAAAAGAAAGGAGGAATTTGCGGGCACCATAATGTCCCCTTTTGTCTCAGTGACATTCTTGTCTCATAACTTTTTCTCTTTTCCCTTGTAGGACTTTCAATTGGGCTCTTTCAATGGGAGGCAAAATTCCCATATCTGAGGGACTTGAACATCCAGACCTGCCTGATGGCACAGGAGAGTTTCTGGATGCTTGGCTTATGTTGGTAGAAAAAATGGTGAACCCAACAACTATACTTGAGTCACCACACTCCCTCCCTTCTAAGCTGCCTGGGGGTCGAAACTATCCACAGTTTAGTGCCCTCCGCTTCCTTGTAGTGACTCAGAAGGTGAGTTTTATGTTCCTACAAGAGATTCCACTAAAATAGAGGATTTTGAAGTAAGCAATAGGCATTACTTAAGCCTTACTTAGGAATAGGAATACTCTGTTCTGTGTGGAGACTGACAAGATCAGTACTGCAGACCACAAAGGCAGAAACCAAAACATTCTCCTCTATTAAAGGAGAAACAAGGACAAATATAAGTATATAAAGCATAAAGTCTGTTTATTGCAATGCGTGCATTTCTTTGTATAGTGTTATCAACATGTATATATAAATATATTTATATGTAAAATGCAGACACACACAAGATCTTCATGGCAGGGGGCAAAGGATGAGCTACTTGTTTTACCGTTGAACACTTTCCAATATGCCACAAAAATAAAAGAACTTAAGATGCTGGACTTAGAAAGAAAAATTTAATCCATTATTATTGTTCTCACTTTGCTTGTGGTACATAAGTAAAATGTCTCATTGAATGAAGGATTAGTGAAAAAATAATTCTAAAATCAGTATGATCTGTTAGGTTTCTTTGATTCAGTTGATAGACTCAGAGTACTCTTTGTGTATACCTCTTTACTTTACCTCAGCCTGCTTGAACACAGAGGCTCACTTAAATTTTGGTACATTCAGCAATTAAGAAATTGTCAATTTTTATAAATTATTTTACATATGTATGGTAATATATGATCTCAACAGTCTTGTCAAATAGTAATTTATTATACCAGAAGCTGAGGTCTTTGGATTTCTCACATAATAGATGACTAATCATTGACTGCTGTGTCTTGCATACCTAACCCATTCCACTGATCCACCACTCCATTTCTTAGCGAGAACCAAGTAGTTTAAATGAGTGCTGCTTTATGATACAATTTGAGGTCTGTAAAGCTTTGCCACTTTCTCTGGCATTTCTTTTCATTAATTCTCTTGAGATTCTGGATCTTTTGTTCTCTCAGATGAATTTTGTTATTGTTTTGGTTTAGTTTGTTTTTTATAGCTCTATAACATAATTTTTTGGTGGTTTGATTGCCATGGCATAGAATAAGTACATGAATTTAGGTTTAATTGTTATTTTTTATTGTATTAGTTCAGCCTACCCATGTGCAACTGATATATTTCCAGTGATTTTAGATCTGACTTTCGTTGTATGAAAAGTGTTTTGTGATTGTTTTCATATAGTTCCTGAGTTTGTTTTGGCAGGTAGACTTCCAAATATTTCTGTCTTCAGTAAATTTGAAAGGAATTTCTCTTTCTGTGTCTTGCTTTTGTTTTATTAATAATATATAGAAATGCTTCTGGTTTATGTGGGTAGGTTTGTTTTTTGAGATTAGAAATGCTTGTCCATATTTAAAGGAGATATGGAAGTAACCTGTAGGTTTCCACCGATTGAAGATTTGAGAGGGAAATATTTAAGGTAGTAGTCTGCATAAAAGAATGGAAGGGAGGTATTAGATGGGCAGGCTTTAGAAAGCAAAGAGTAGAGTCTTGAGATGAAGAAAAGAGGAAAAGGGAATTCATAATTTCCTCTTTAAAAGGTATGAGAGCCGTAGCTTAGAAGAGTAGAGCATGGATCAATGTTAAAACAAGAAGTTAGAGAGTAGCAGTTGTAGGGAGTAAAACAGGGAGTGATAATGTAATTGCTTAATAAGGCCCTTATTGAAGTTAAATAACATAAATTTTTTAGGGTATCCTGTAAATATATTTATGTGACTAGCTCTAGCAGCATATGAATAGGAGTATAGGAGGTCGGAGTGCTAGGACTGAGATTTGTCAAGGAAATATCAGTGATGGTAATAATAATATCACTTCATGATAATGAAGGAGATTAGTTCAATAGAAGGGGAGAATGTGGAATAAAATTTTTTAAGAATTAAGTCAGCATGATACTAGCCTGAAAAAACACTAAGGAATAGAGAGATTAGAGATTATTATGAGAGTAAAGAATTGGTTTAATAAAGTGAGATATAGGGGATAGTGACATGGTAGTCAAGTGGTGTTGTTTAGGTTTTGTGTTGTGATTTTTTGTTACTTTTGTAGGGATTGTGTTTTTTTATTTTTTTATTTTTATTTTTTTTTTTTTTTCAGGAAAAAAAGTAATGGTGTATATAGGGTGTAATGATCTCTGGGTATGACTGAGGAGAAATTTAGGATATTGATGAAATGGATATTGAAGGCTCCTAGTATAAGGATAACAGTTGGGAAAAAAAGATGAAAACAGAGCAGGATGATAAAAATGGTGGGGAAGGTACAACTATAATCTATGTAATTTCAGAGGAGAAGAGGCTACTGAGTATTGTCATTAAAAGAAAGAATCTGGGTTAATTTTGAAGGCAGTTGGGATTAAGTGACTTGCCCAAGGTCACGTAGCTAGTGTCAGGTGTTTGTTCTGAGGCCAGATTTGAACTCAGGGTTCAGGGCTTTAATATTTACTTTTACTAAATTACGTATAAAAACAATTTTAACATTTATTTTTTCAAAATTTTGAGTTCCAAATTCTCTTCTTCCCTCCCCTTTCATTGAGAAGGCCAGCAGTCTGATAATGTTTATACATACACAGTCATGCAAAACATTTTTCTGTGTTAGTTATGTTGTGATAGAAAACACAAACTTTTTTTAAAAAAGCAAGAAAATTTTTAAAAAGATATGTTTCAGTCTGCCTTCAGACTCTATCAGTTCCTTCTCTGTAGATAGGTAGCATTTTTCACCCTAAGTCATTCACAGTTAATCATTATAAAATATTGCTGTTACTATATACAATTTTCTCATTCTACTCATTTCACTTGGCATCAGTTGATGTAAGTCCAGATTTTTCTGAAATTATTTGCCTGTACCTTTCTTATACAATAGTATTCTATCACAATTATATACAACAATTTGTTCAGTCGTTCCCCAGTTGATAGATATCCCCTCAATTTCCAATTCTTTGCCACAAATAAAAGAACTACTATTAATATTTTTGTGCATAAAGTTCCTTTTCCTTTTGTATGTCTTTGGGATACAGACCAAGCATTAGTATTGTTGGACCAAAGGGTATGCACAGATTTGTAGTCCTTTAGTTAATAGTTCCAAATTGATCTACAGAATGGTTGGGTCATTTTTTCCTATATCCCCTCCAACATTTTCCTTTCCTTTTATGTTAGTCAGTTTGATAGGTGTAGGTGGTAACTGACAATTGTTTTAATTTGCATTTCTCTAATTAATAGTAATTTAGAACATTTTTTAATGTGACATTAGATAGTAACAAGTTAACTTGCAAATGGAATATTCAGATGGGGAAAGAAACAGGGGAAGTAACTTTACCCTTGACCGTTCTTTTTAAACCTTTACAGACTAGAAATAGTCTAAATCTCCCCCCTCTTACTAGCTAGTTTCTAGCTTCCTTCAGGTATAGGTCTTTTTAAATTTGAAAAATGCCCCTGAAAAAAGGCCACTTACTTACATCCATTCCTTATAGGCGGCTTTCAACTGCATAAAGAACCTGTGGAACCGGAAGCCTGTAAAGATTTATGGTGGGCGGATGGCTGAATCCATGCTGGCCATCCTGTGCCACATACTTCGGGGAGAGCCTGTTATCCGAGAGAAACTAAACAAGGAAAAAGACGGAGCAAAAGCTGAGGAGGAATCTGGGCAGGAAGAAGGTAGCTCCCGCCGAGGACCTCAAGTGAATCAACAACAACTACAACAGGTAGTTCTTTCTCCCTTTCTGGGTAAATGGGCTGAGGGGTAAAGTTGAAGTCAGTAGACAATGGGGTAGAAAGCACTCTTTTATACCTACGTGTTTTGGGCAGAGCAATTAGGAGGTTAGGGCTAGGAGCACAAAGTCTGGATTCAGGAAGATTCATCTTCCCTGAGGTAAAATCTGTATGACCCTGGGCAGGTCACTTAACCCTGTTTGCCTTAGTTATCTCTTCTGCAAAATGATCTGGAGAAGGAAGTAACAAGCCTCTGTAGTTAGTGTTGAACGTGACTAATCAACTGAACAATAACATACATCTCTTCTAAACTGGAGAGAAAATAACAAGCACAAATCTGTATAACAGCATTGTTGGCCACACTAAAGAAAAAAGCTTTTTGGTTCTTTCTGAATGGTTAAAGTTTAACACTTGAAAATTTGGAAAATGCTTTACATATTTTTTCTTATTTGAGTTTCATGACAACCCTGTAAGGTAGTACGTATTATCATTCCAATTTTATAGGTGTAGAAACATGGGGTAAAAAAGCTAATAAAAGTCTTATTTTAATTCAGGTCTTCATGATTCTCATGTCTGGGACTACATACTGTACCATCTAACTGTCTCCATAAGCATATAAAACTCTGTCAATTGATGCAGAGTAGTAAGGCAATGTGATGGGGTATGGGCCCAAGTCGATACCTTTGTCCCTCACCCCAGAAATTGTCTATGGGCCACAGAAAACCCTATTTGAATTTTACCTTGTCAAGAAAATCTTACTCTGAAGTTATTCTTATTCATATCACCTGGCTCTTCCTTATCACCTAGGCCCTATCTCCCAATTATTTGTTACCCTAATTAAGCCAAGCCCTCCACTGTCTATTCTGTGGGTTATACTTCCCATTCTTGATCTTATCCAGAGCCCATTCAACCTCCCAGACACTCCCATGGAGATTCTTCCAGGACTCCTCCCCCATTCACCCCAGCTTCAAGATCTTCCTCGCAGCGCCTCCTCTGGTCACCCCAACCTACTTGGCCTCTCCTAAATCCCTCCCATAGT